CTCTCTCTCTCTCTCTCTCTCTCTCTCTCTCTCTTCTTCCTTATATGTCTATTTCTTCACACGACGGCTCAAATTGCACAAGGGCAAGACGAAATCCACGGCCAAGTATCACTCAATTTCCTCCATTTTTTCCTTTTTTTCTTTTACGGATTTTTTTCTCATTCGTAGACCACCTATCCATCACCCTGTTGACGGTGGCGGCTGAGAAGATCGTCACCGAGCAAGAGTCACGCTTGGAGGTTTGCATGACAGGTAACGAAGGCAGGATCAAAGATCAGCGGTTATGGTGGCTCTCGGCGACCCAACTCCTCTCTTTACTTGTTATGGTTCATATCTCAATTCAAATACGAAATAGGAACTAAAATCAATCAATTCGTCGATTGACTTTGAGCAATGCTATGATTCACTCGTGCACCACGGCTCGTTGAGAAGATGAGTGACGTTGGGAGTGGTGAGGTCAATCAATCCCGTTTCAGAATTGTTTATATGTTGTTTATCTTATATATAACTATACGGTTAATATTAGATAACTGCCCGATCATGGTTATCTAATGTATATATACAATATATATGAACATATATTTGGTGGGTTATTAGGCAGTATATATAGTGCATCTGAATTTTCTCATCGAAAGAGATTTCACGAAGATCTATGAATTTTTCTTTTCGCAGCTCCTTCGACTGTTTTTTTTTCCTCAGCCATATCGATGAAGTCATATTGGTATGATATTTAAAAAAAAAAAATCACTGTGATTCCATTCGTTCCGAACAAATTAATTGCATAATATTTATTTGGAGAGAGAATCAGATTTTATAGAGAGTTCTCTTTATTTGGAGAGAATCAAATTTTTATGGAGAGAGAGAAACAGGCCAGTGATAAAGATTGTTATCTCCTATAGATGAAATAAAAATCACATCATAATCCTCTTTTGATTAATGTTTACACAATCTGTACATACGTAAATATTTCTACATGGAGGTATATGTGTAATTTTCCCAAAATTGTATATGCCTATTCATATAAGCTTCAAGTTTCATTTTTTTTTTTTTTTTCAGAAACGTTTTTCTAAAGAGAATTACTGTTAGGCTGTTGAATAATCATGTCATATATGTGAAACCAATTCATTCCCTAAATCCTTTTTTTTTAAAGGAAATAAACCACACTTTACTCCGAAATGTCAGGTTCAGAACCATTGTACAAAAGGTAATAAGGGGAGAGGTACCCAAAATAGCAATCCATAGAAGCGCCATTGTTTGATGAAGGTGCCACGAGAACCCGATAACTACCTTTTGCCGCTCAATAATATATGGAGAGTGTTCGATGGTGTTGAAGGGAAGAACACTGAATACCGAAAGCCCAGAGCCACAGGTCCAACTCCACACTCAGAACCTGCACGAAAAAAAAA